CCCCAGGAGGCCGCCTCCCCTTCCTCCCACTGCCTCTGGAGGAGGGGCGCCGGGGGTGGCACGGATCCCAGGCTGCGCGAGGGGCCTGGGGAGCCCACTGCATTGGGGAGCAAGGCCCCGAACGTGGGCCACCAGAAACCTAGGGACTCAGAGCGCCCCAGCCCCAGTCCCCACACTGCGCTGACCCACATGCCTGGGGTCCAGTCAGGGGTCACTCACTCACTGTACGGACAACCTTCCCCTCCCCCCCAAAAAAACAAAACAAAACACCTCTCCGGGCCTCGGCTCACCGGTCTATAAAATGGGGATGGCAGTATCCCCTTCCAAGTGCTTTTGCTCAATCCTTTTGAGCTATCACTTCCCCCCCATCCCTGGGGGTTCCTGAGGCCCCGAGTACTATTGCCAGGTAAAATACCGGCACCCAATTTAATTTGATTTTCAGATAACGAATTATTTTTAGTACAAGTATCCATGCAGTACTTGGGACATACTTACACTAAATATTTTTTCACTTGTTCTATATCTGAAAATCAAATTTCACTGGGTCTCCTGCATTTTTATTTGCTAAATCTGGCAACCATATCCCTAGGCCACCATCAGCTCTGGCCCGGAAATGCTCCGACAGACAGCTCCCTGGCCCCCTTCCTTCAGGCTTTACCCCTTCCACCCATTCTCCAGAGCAAGCCAGTTACATTCATGCGCACCCTCCGTCCACCGTGCACTGTGGAAAGCCACCTCCTGGGCCACACGGCCCTTCTTGTCAGGTCTCTACTTCCTCTCCAACCTCTTTCACATCCACCTGAGCATCCTTCAGATCCTGGGGCACCACTTCCTCCAGGAAGCCTTCCTTACCTGCCCCCATGACCCTCTGATTTTAGACTCTCCAGGAGAGTCTGTCCTCTTCTGTCTCCCTATTCAGCCATTTGAGTGAATTACTCAATCATTTGAATAAAATGAACATTTCTTTTTTTGGTTAATCCTCACCCGAGGATATTTTTTCCATTGACTTTTAGAGAGAGTGGAAGGGAGGGGTAGAAACAGAGAGAAACACCGATGTGAGACACTAGTTGCCTCTCACAGGCACCGAGGTACGTGCCCTTGTCCACAGTCAAACCTGAGACACTTCAGTCCGCAGGCTGACGCTCTATCCACTGAGCCGAGCCAGCTAGGGCTGAACATTTCTTAAATGACACAAAGCTGGCAACTTCCTTGATGGAGGCCAGGTGAAGGGGGCACATCTTCTGGCCCACGAAGCCCTGGTGCTGGTCCCCACTCTTTTCCCCACCCCACAGGGTCTGAGGCCCTGGGCTGGCCCGCCTTTGGCCCCCTTAAGGGGTCCTGTGGGCAGCTCAGAGGTGACTATTATGGGGTCCTGGGGGGCCTAGAGTGAAGGGAGGCCTCACAGTCTGACAAAGGGCCTGTCATCGCCTCTGGAGGGCACAGGCTTCAGCTCCTTTGTCAACAGCCAAAGGCGCCCACTGGGTCCGTACCCTTATACGTCCCCGCCAAGCTCCCTCATGGACTTGCCGTTCAGACCCACACGGGGCACGCCCATGGGTATGACCATCGCCAAGATGGGACCTGCACATGGCCGAGAGGGGTATGGGAGCCCGTCACCCTGCCTGGTTTAAGTGTGGTGTTCCGCCTCCTTTGGCAAAGGAGTTTGCCTCTCCGTTACTCAGTTTCTCCATCTGTAAACCAGGAATAATACCCGTGAAAGGTCAGGGGGCTAGTGTGAACATGAACATCCATAGGTACACACGTGCAGAACAGGCTGGGACGGAAGGCGCTCCTTGTTGGCTCCTTTGAAGGTGAAAAGCCAAAATCCCCATCACAGCCCTGTGATCGCCTCACCTCAGCAGGTCGTTCCCCCACATCCATCTAGGAGAGTTGGCCCAGCTTCTCAGGGTTCCTCTCACCCCACAGCGAGGACCCTATGCTGCTGTCCCCTCACCCTGCACTGGCCTCCGGAGAGCCAGGGGGGGATCTGGCTTGGCGAGCGACACCCTGTGTTCTCCCCATTGCACCACAGCTGTCCCTTCACCCTCATCTCTGTGCCCACCGAAACGACAGGCCTGGTCTGAGTCCCTACTCTGGGGAAGGCCACCGGGTCCCGGAGCCTCTTGCCGCTCCCATCCGGCTGGAGGCTCGAACCTGGGACC